ATCCATCCATCCATCCATCCATCCATCCATCCATCCATCCATCCATCATTCCATCCATCCATTATCTTTTACCTGCTTCTTTCATTTTCGCCGGTCGCCGGTGCCCATGTCCAGCATTTACTGTGCGAGGGGTGGGGTACACCCTGGTCAGGTCTCCAGTCCATCACAGGGACACATGGAGACAAACGAGACAAACAACCATTCACTCTCTCACTCACACCTAGGGCCAATTTAGAGTTATCAATCAGCCTAACATGCATGTTTTTGGTCTGTGGGAGGAAACCGGAGAACCAGGAGAAATCCCACACATGCTCAGAGAGAACATGCAAACTCCACCCAGAAAGGCCACCGGACCAGGATTTGAACCAGGGACCTGCTCGCTGAGAGACAGCAGCTCTACCAGTTACGCCACTGTGCTGCCCGTACAAATACATATTGAAATGAAATAGCGTTTCTCCAGGATCACGGTGCAACATAGAGCATAAAGTGCAAAAACAACAGAACAAACAGTGCAGATACATAACAGAACAATAAATGCAAACAGAGTTATAACAAATGCAAAAAGACATCAAACCTAATCTAAACATTACAATCTAAACAAGTAATTAAGAGACAAATTATGTTGATTAGTACATGTGTAGGTGGTACATGAGGTAGAAACATGTTCTGATATGTGGTTAACAGCCTAGAGTTCTTCTATTTTTTATAGCAGCAGAGATATAAAATATGTAAGGTGCAAAAATACAAAACTTGAGCAAATTGCAAAAACATATGAGTAAAGAAGTCACAAACAGTACAACACATTTAGGTTGTGTGTCAGAGTCCAGAGTTGAGGAGTCTGATGTCTTGTGGGATGAAGCTGTTCCACAGTCTGGTTGTGTTGGTCCGAATGCTGCAGTAACTTCTCCCATAGGGCAGGAGAGTAAAAAGTCCATGTCATGGGTGAGACGGGTCCTCCACAATGCTGAGGGCATGGGCTTGAAACTGGCATGTCCATGCGTGCTCATCTGCTCACACAGACTCATGCTCATGTTCGTGCTGCTGTTCAACATAATGTTTTATGCTATTAGTGCTTAGTGTATTTTAGTTGATGTTTTTCTTATATATTTTATTGTTGGATGTAACTGGGACCCTGTATATATAATTTTGCTCCACCACATGTACCACATGTGGTGCGAATGACAATAAAGAATCTCTGACTCTATGAAGATGAGCTTTCTTCAGTCTCTTCAGAAAGTAGAAACATTGTTGAGCTTTCTTGGCGATGGCGCTGGAGTTACGGGTCCAGACGAGATCCTCCACCAGGTGAACACCAAGGAATTTGGTGCTCTTGACGATCTCCACAGAGGACTCATCAACGTTCAGTGCGGGGAGGTCCCATGGTGTTTTCCCAAAGTCAATGACCATCTCTTTGTTGTTGTCAACATTCAGAGACAGGTTATTGATTTACTCTGAACTTGCTATATATACATGTATACATAAACTAAGACAAAAACTTATTTTGCAAATAAATTATCCTGATACTATCCAAACAGAAACTCGTAAACTGTTTCAAACTTCATGTGTGGGAGAGAATCAGAAAAGAGGAGAGACAGAGTGAGTGTAGAAAGGGACTGAAATAGCTCTAACATTTGAGAAAGGCAGGACCTGCAAGCTGGCGCTGATCCCACCCCCTTCCTAAGCTCTGACCTCACTCTGAAACCTGTTTCCATTTGAATGTGGTGCACTCGCTCAGTTACATACAAACACATAGTTACTGGCCAAACAACACACTCAAAGCACAAATCTGTGCATTGTATAAGGGGTGCAACGAAAAGTTGCCTGAAGAGAGCAGGCCTTTTCTCTGCGAATCAATGTGCAGCAACCAGAGGACATGGGGGAGAAACTTTAGAAGATAGAAGGAGCAGACAAACAGAAAGGGGGAGAGGGGGAAAGGCCACCAGTGCTACGCCACATTTAGACCAAGAGCAAAAACAAGATGTCTCCGCAGACATGTGGGTGAATGGAAACTTAAGAAAATCTTGTTTTCAGGATAGACTGCAAAAAATTGTATACGTATAATTTGAGAAAAACAACAGCAGATTTTTTTACTAGCAGCCTGCACAGCAGCAGTCTTAGATCTGCTGTTCGATCCCACCAGAGGGGATGAGGACTCCTGGGAAGCACCGGAGAGCTCCACATCCTGAGAGACCCAACCGGAGGAAACAGAACAGGTTCCACAAAGATGGAAAGCCTAGGAAAACAAAGAGGAGAAGAACAGCAGAAACACCAGTTAGAAGATGGTGAGAACTTGTGACAGATAGATGAGTGTGACAACAAACTGGTTTATTTTACTCTGAAGCGGAGTGTCACTGGACAGACTGGGAACATTTGGGCTTCTTGGTGTGTCGTCAACAGGTCCACTGAGATCATACAGAAACGCAGGCGGTAATTAGGAACTATGTGATTCTCTCTCCATCCTTTTTGTCTTCTTCTGTCACTTATTGTGTGCATGCTCACTCAGGTGTGAATGCAGAGTCAGCCTACGTCATATTGTTTTCTTGTTTATAGCGGGGAGGGTCGGTACATTTTTGGAATTCTAACTACTTTAGCTTATTTTCAACTTTTTAAAACTTTCATTTCACATTTTATCGTCTTCAGAACATTAAAGCTATGACTTATTTTTGTAACTTTTATAATTATTTGAAATAGTTAAATTTAGTTACGTTTTTTTTATTGGAATGGAATGAAATGTTTTGGGTGTTTTGATAATCCTCTTCAGCATACATGGCTTAAATTTTATTTTTTAGCTACAGCTCTGCTGGTTTTAGCTTTTATTCAGTTCATTTTAACTTTTAGCTTTTGTTTAGCTAATTTAAACTTTTGGCTCTTGCTAATGTTACCTTTAATCCCTCGTTTGACTCTATAGCTTTTGTTCTGATCATTTGACAATTCTCTTTATGGAGTGTACAACAACTTTCAGAAGTTATTCAGCAAAGTATTCAAACTGCACACACAGGCAAGAGGTGACCATTTGTGAGCAGCAGTATGGTTTCATGCCAAGAAAGAGCTCCACAGACGCCATCTTTGCTTTGAAGATGCTGATGGAGAAGTACAGAGAGGGTCAGAAAAAACTCCATTGTGTCTTTGTGGATTTAGAAAAAACATATGGCAGAGTGCAGAGGGAGGAGGTGTGGTATTGCATGAGGCAATCTGGAGCGGCAGAGAAGTATGTTAGACAGGTACAGGACATGTATGAAGACAGCAGGACATGTATGAGGACAGCAGGACATGTATGAGGACAGCAGGACAGAGGTGAGATGTGCTGTAGGAGTGACAGATAGTTTCAAGGTGGAGGTGGGAGTGCATCAAGGATCGGCTCGGAGCTCCTTCTTGTTTGTTCTGATGATGGACCGACTAACAGATGAGGTCAGGCAGGAATACCCGTGGACTATGATGTTTGCAGATGACATTGTGATCTGTGGTGAGAACAGGGAATAGATGGAAGAGAACTTGGAGAGGTGGAGGTATGCACTTGAAAGAAGAGGAATGAAAGTCAGCCGTAGTAAGACAGAGTATGTGTGAATGAGAGGGAGGAGGTGGAACAGTGAGGCTACAAGGAGCAGAGGTCACAAAGGTGCAGGACTTCAAGTACTTGGGGTCCACTGTCCAGGAAAATGGGGAGTGTGGTAAAGAGGAGAAGAAGAGAGTCCAGGCAGGATGGAGTGGATGGAGAAAAGTTTCAGAAGTGATTTGTGACTAAAGGGTGTCAACAAATGTCAAAGAAAAAATTTACAAGACAGAGGTGAGACCAGCTATATTGTATGGTTGAAACAAGATCAGGACATTCCCAGTTAGACATGTGTCCCTTCCTGTTATCTTTGCTAGTAGCTGGAGTAATTTGTTTGCTTGAGGAGTCTTTTGTTTTTCTGGATTTATCTGTCTTTTGCACAGTTTTACTTACATAAACACCCTTGATACAGTTGTTTTTGGGATTACCTGTCTATATAAAGGTTGAATGAATGTTTTTCTACTATTGCATTGTGCTTTAAACACACTTTGTCTTTGCACACTTCTGTTTTTTATCAGCATATTTGAGATCTGCTAGCTCTTACTAGCATTAGCTTACCATAGCTTCTGCTTCTCTCCCTGCTTCCTCTGTTTTCTCTTGCTCCGTGTGTCAGATGTTTAGTTACTCCTCTGCCTCCTTTAGTGGTAATGATACATGTAACAAATGTAGTCTTATGGTAGCTTTGGAGGAGAGGCTGTCTGAACTGGAAGCTCAGCTCCGCGCTGTTGAAAAACCAGTAGCTAGCCAGGTCCCCTTAGACACCACGGAGCCACTGAGACTAGCTCCCGTTAACGGTCTTCCAGCAAACCCAGACCAGCCGGGACCCCAGGCCAACTGGGTGATGACCCTTAGTGAGCATAGAGCTAAGGCTAAGCCCCCAGTTCACCACCGACCCGTTCACATTTTTAATCGATTTTCCTCGCTCAGTGACACACCCGCTGAGAAACAGACCCTGGTTATTGGAAGCTCCATAGTCAGAAACGTGGCTTTAGGGACTCCAGCGGCCATAGTCAAATGTGTTCCGGGGGCCAGAGCGGGCGACATAGAATCTTATCCGAAACTGCTGACTAAGGCTAAGGCTAAATACGGTAAGATTGTTATTCACATTGGCGGTAATGACACCCATTTACACCAATCGGAGGTCACTAAACTTAATGTTGCTTCGGTGTGTGACTTTGCTAAAACCATGTCGGACTCCGTAGTTTTCTCTGGCCCCCTCCCCAACCTGACCAGCGATGACATGTTTAGCCGTATGTCGTCGTTTAACCGCTGGGTGTCCAGGTGGTGTTCTGACAACGACGTGGGCTACAAAGATAACTGGAGTTGTTTCTGGGGAAAACCTGGTCTGATGCGGAGAGATGGCATCCATCCCACTTTGGACGGAGCCGCTCTTCTTTCTAGAAATATGGATGATTTTGTTTATCCCCCAAATTATTGACAACCCAGGGTCCAGTCCAGGAAGCAGAGTTGTAGTCCTCCACCCCTCTCTGCTGCTTCTCCTCTGTTACCCACCCACACCCCATTGAAACAGTGTCAACTCGCCCACGGCTCAAATTAAATAAACAAAAAATCAGTTCTAAAAATATAAACCATAAAAATCTGATTAAAATAAACACAGTTACTTTACCAGAGCAAAATCATAAAATCATTAAATGTGGATTATTGAACATCAGATCTCTTTCCTCTAAATCCCTGTTAGTTAATGAACTGATCATCATATTGATTTATTGTGTCTGACAGAAACTTGGCTACAACAGGAGGATTTTGTTAGTATAAATGAATCCACTCCTGTTAATTATTTAAATGTTCATGTTCCTAGAACAACTGGCTGAGGTGGAGGAGTAGCTTCTATTTTTCAGTCAGGATTATTGATTAATGCCAAATCAGTTATTAGTTATGATTCTTTTGAATCACTGTCCCTCAGTCTTTCTCATCCAAAATGGAAATCAGAAAAGCCACTTTTACTAGTTGTTATACATCACCCACCAGGCGCTTACTCAGTTTTTGTCTGAATTCTCAGAATTATTAACTGACTTACTATTAAATACTGATAAAATCATCATAATGGGTGATTTCAATATTCATGTGGATGTTGAGAGTGATAGCTTAAGCATAGCCTTTAATAATTTAATAGACTCATTTGGTTTTACCCAAAACGTCCGTACATCTACTCATTCTTATCATCACACTCTTGATTTAGTTCTGACCTATGGTGTAGAGATTAAGGACTTGGTAATAGTTCCTCAAAATCCTATTCTGTCTGACCATTTTTTAATAACCTTTGAGTTTACATTAAATGACTACACAGTCACTGAGAGTAAATTTCATCTCAGCAGGTGCTTATCAGAAAATGCTGTAACCAAATTTAAACAATCTCTTACATCAATGTTTTCCTCTGTCTTGCAGAGTAATGCATCAGATAACAGTAACAATCTTCTTGATAATTTTACAACTTCAATGCAAACTTCACTTGATAAATTGCTCCGCTGGGGAAAAAGTAATCAATCAGAGGAGATTAGCTCCTTGGTTCAGTTCTGAGTTACGTACTTTAAAATAGTCATCTAGAAAGGTGGAGAGAAAATGGTGCTCCACTAACACGGAATAATTTTATTTAACTTGGAGAGATAGTCTGCTAACATATAAAAAAAATCTCCATAAAGCTAGAACTTTATATTACTCATATTTAATAGAGGAGAATAAAAATAACCCTAGGTTTATGTTTAGTACTATTGCTAGACTAATTAAAAGTCCCATTTCTGTTGAACCATATATCCCTACAACTATACGCAGTGATGACTTCATGAGATGCTTTATAAATAAAATTATTCGAATTACAGAGAAAATTCAAACCATCCTTCCTTCTGTTGCCTCTGATTCTCTATCAGATGAGGCAGCTTTAGAAATGATACTAGAGCCTGATTTATGTTTGGACAGTTTTTGTCCTGTTGAGCTCTCTGAATTGTCAAAAATAATAACCTCATCCAAACCATCCACGTGCCATTTAAGCTATCACTTTCAACATCTACAAGAATTCTGAAATCCCCCATTATAATGACTTTATCAGTATTTAATAGTACTGTACGTCAGACAAGAAACCTGAGAATTCAGACAAAAACAGAGTATAGGAGTCTGGTGGACGATATATAACAACTAATAAAAGTGGCTTTACAGATTTCCATTTAGGATGCAAAAGACTGAGGGACAGCAACTCAAAAAAAATTATAACTATTTGGTTATATTATATTGGTTACTAATATTAATCAACAATTCTGACTGAAAACTAGAAGCTACTCCTCCATCTCAACCTGTCGTTCTAGGAACGTGAAAAATTCCTGAATTTTAATGAATGGTTATGTACGCATGTTGGTGTGTTTATTGCCTGGAATTATGACAGAAGCCAATCACCGCCATGTGGTAATGCCTGTGGTACTACTGGAAGTGAGAACAATCGCTGCATTGTTTACTTCCTGTAAAACTGATTAATAAGCTGTTGTTATTTTCAATTCTTGCCAATTAATGTAAATGTGTGATGTGTTAAACTTGATTCTGTTAATAAATGACCCACTGTCGTTGGTGAGTCAAAGATAATTAACGTCTCACGTCCACATTTTATTAAATTCAGATGCACGTTATTATACAGTCCAGAAAAATGAAAGAATCCGTTTAATTTATGAATATATCAGCATATGTTCATACTACACCGTTCATTGTTGATCATAACTTTCACTTAACTTTCAGCAGACAGTGAAACTTATTTGCACAAAAGAATGCCATAGTGCCTTCTTAATGACTTAAAGGGATTGTGTAATAATTAGAAATGTTAACAACAAAGTCCATGCTCAATAATCCAGGTATACAATCCAACATTTTTCAGTGAGGTCATCTGGACAGTTTCTTTTTTGTGCTGAAATGTTTCACCTTCGATCCAGAAGGCTTCATCAGTCAAGGAAACACACAACACAAAACTGATTCTTCCCCCAACAGCTTACTCCAAAGTGGAACAAACCAGTTCTGCTTGATGGTCTCTTTGGTACGCCCCCTCCTCCATTGCCGACCCTCTTCCTTGTTGACAGTCGTGTCAAACTGGTTGAAAACAACAAAGTACATGTTCAATAATCCAGGAATACATCCATCCATCCATTATCTTTACTCGTTTATTCCATTTTGGGTCACGGGGGTCGCTGGTGCCCATGTCCAGCAATCACTGTGCGAGGGGCGGGGTACACCCTGGACGGGTCGCAAGTCCATCACAGGGACACATAGAAACAAATGAGACAAACAAACATTCACTCTCTCACTCACACCTAGGGACAATTTTAGAGTTACCAATCAGCCTAACATGCATGTTTTTGGTCTGTGGGAGGAAACCGGAGCACCCGGAGAAAACCCACGCATGCACGGAGAGAACATGCAAACTCCACCCAGAAAGGCCCCTGGACCGGGGTTTGAACCAGGGACCTGCTCGCTGAGAGGCAGCAGCTCTACCAGTTGCGCCACCGTGCTGCCTATCCAGGAATACAATTTTTTTTTTAAAAAGAAACTATCCAGATGACCTGACTGAAAAATGTGGAATTAGAAATGTTGTGAGTGATTCTCACTGGTTCACAAAATATTTTGCTAACAGATAGACACACTTGCATGGGCAAAACATGTCCCTGCCTTCCGTTTTCTGATGGTTATTAATAGTAATATTTACAGGTCAATTAAATGTGTATCATGTGCGTAGGATCAAATTAATTGTTTTATGTTCTTTTCATGCTGTTTCCTAAAATCTGTCTCCTGTTCACTTCATTAGTTTCTTTCAGTGATCTCTCTCCTCACTTCTGTGTTTTTAGTTTTGATGTGGAGAATGGGTTATCAGTGGGACGCAGCCCTCTGGATCCTCAGGCCAGTCCCAGTTCTGGTCTGGTCCTGCAGACAAACAGTCAGCGACGGGAGTCCTTTCTGTACCGCTCGGACTCTGAGTTTGACCTGTCACCCAAATGTCCTTCCAGAAACCCATCCACTGCCAGCGACCTGTGAGTTCACTTCGTGCACTCGTACCACATGTGACACTTCATCCACAACACAGTCTGCAGAGCTCAACATTTTTCTTTTCTGTTCTTCAGATGAGTCCATTTTCTATCAGACATTCATATATCTTATTGTGGTGATCTGTTTGGAAGACATTATACGTGATAAAAAAATAATAAAACCTAGCCTTTCTTGAATAAAAATATACTTTCAGGCCAGCATTTTAGAATAATCTCATCTTGGGGTGTGAAATGACAACATTTTAGCTGTTTTGGTAAAAAAAAAAAAAAAGTGTTGCAAGCTCAGTCATCCAGGTGGAAAAAACAAAAAAGGTTAAATCATGTCATCTGGACCAGTTCTTTCAGGGACAAACGTTTCATCTGTCGTCCGTAAGCAGTGGTGGAGGAAGTACTCAAACACTGTACTTCAGTAAAAGTACAAATAAACAGGCAAAAATGTACTCTAGTAAAAGTAGAAGTACCACATTAACATTTTTACTTAAGTAAAAGTAAATAAGGACTTGTGTTTAAAAATACTTAAAGTATTAAAAGTAAAAGTACTTCCTGAATGTATTACCTAATGCAATGGTCTAGATATCTTTAAGTGTACCTACCATACTGTATGTATATTTTCTGTAATACATTAATAGTGTTGTTTTAATGAACAATGCTGCAGATAATACATGTTTTTATTGTGTTTACTCTGTGACACAGTTCACACTTGGACTTGTGATTCTGTGCAGCAGAACTTCAGGGAGGACCTGCAGAGTTAAATGTCATTAATCAAAATAAGAAAGAGGAATGATTTTACCTTTGAAAGTTTTTATTTAACACAAATCAAAACCAATGTGTCATTTTAACTTCAGTAAACACATTTAAGTAAAAGTTGTCTGCCTGAACAAAAGGAACATTAGACCAAACAAAGGAACAGACTCCGATCATTTCAACTCCAGTTTGTCATCAACTCTAGTTAAAATACTGTCTATTCAACTTTGTAAAGGGTCAATATTGAACAATATTTTAACTAGGAAAATCTGTCCTATTGTACTGAACAGTCTTTCAATAATCTTTCAATAATCTTTCAATAATCTTTCAATAGTCTGTCAATAATATTTCAACAAGGCCATGGGTGGCATGTATCTTCTGACTGACTCTCTGTGGTGGAATCCATTTTGGGTGTGTTAGCGGTGCTGCGGGTGCATCCAGCTCAATGTCGTATATACTAGAATATATTCTCAGAGTGGAACAACCAGAAAAACTGGTTGATCCACTCTGAGAAGGTGCTATTGATAAGACTGAGCTGAATACAGCACCTCAGTCTGAGGAAGTCTTTCGGATGGAAGACAAAACATTTCTATATATTTTTTTTGTTTTGCTTTGTTTTGTTTTTTGAATGTCCAGAGGACTAGATTTAACTTTTTTAAATAAAGTACAGATACATGAAAAATGTACTTAAGTACAGTAATGAAGTACTTGTACTTGGTTACATCCTACCACTGTCCTTAAGACTTCTCCAGTCTGCAGCCTGCCAACCAGATCTGTCCCATAAGTAGCCTTCACTGCTGTGTTTCAAGCCAACCTCCTGTTGGAATCTCAGAAGCTTTTAACACATGCAAAAGGACCTGTCTGCCCATTTCTCCCTTAAAGAAACTGGTCTAGATTACATGATTGGACCTTGTTGTTGTTGTTGTTTTTGTTGTTGTTGTTTTGGTCAAATCTTGAAAATGATGTGATGTTGTGAGGTGTGTTGGCACTCTGAGAATATGTTGTGAATGACTCTCAGGTCTCCATCAATCCATTTATTCATCCATCAACAATCCATCATCCATTCATTATCAATCCTTCAATCCATTCATCTACCAACAATTCATCATCCATCCATCCATCCATCCATTAGCTATCCATCATCGTCTGTCATCCATCCATCATCCTTCAATCAATTCATCCAAAATCTATCCATCCATCCATTATCTTTACCCGCTTGTTCCATTTTGGGTCATGGGGGTCGCTGGTGCCCATGTCCAGCAATCACTGTGCGAGGGGCGGCGTACACCCTGGACGGGTCGCAAGTCCATCACAGGGACACATAGAGACAAACGAGACAAACAAACATTCACTTTCTCACTCACACCTAGGGAGAATTTAGAGTTACCAATCAGCCTAACATGCATGTTTTTGGTCTGTGGGAGGAAACCGGAGCACCCGGAGAAAATCCACGCATGCACGGAGAGAACATGAAAACTCCACCCAGAAAGGCCCCTGGACCGGGGTTTGAACCAAGGACCTGCTCGCTGAGAGGCAGCAGCTCTACCAGTTGTGCCACCATGCTGCCCCCAAAATCTATCCATCAACCATTAACCATCATCCATCCATCGTCCATCTATCCCTCATCCTTGAATCCATTTATCTATCAACCACTCATCGTCCTTCCATCATCCATCCATCCATCATCCATCCATCCATCAACTATCAATCATCCATCCATCCATCATCCATCAACCATTAACCATCAGCCATCCATCAACCTTCAA